TGGCAAAAGCTCAACACTCTTCTTTTTTGTTTAAGTGATCCAAGATCACATTGAGTCCATAGGAAAGCCAATACTATTAAAAGGAGATTAGGTGTTACTTAATGATCTTGTTGCTCAAGTGCTTAGTTATATTGCTCCAAAACCCTCAGGCACTTTCTCTATCCAAATATGTCCAAAACCAAAACTCTAACTTGGCCCCGCCGATATTTCCTACCCAGAGCCACCGAGTTCATATGGACTTAGCCACTGCCAAAACCCTAACAATTCGGTTTCACCGATACGGATCTTGGTCCCACTGAGATGGCCTTGCCAACGCTCTGTGACTTGTCGCATTTACTTCGGTCTCACCAAGATGTTGCAACCGGTCTCACCGAGTTGGCTTGACTGACGCTCTGTTGCTTATTGCTTCACTTTGGTCCCACCGAAATGATGCAATCGGTGCCACCGAGTTGAGGTTTGCCCTAAGCCCTAGCACATCGGTCCCACCAAGTTCTTTCTGTCGGTCCCATCGAGATTCAAAACATTCATATTTCTATATAGATCGGTGCCACCGAGATGGGTCAAAAGTGTGTAAAGGTTGGATTTTGTGTGGAGGCTATATATCCTCTCGACCCTCCTCTTGCCAAGAAAGAGAGCCATCAGAACATGCCTATGCTTCCACCATTCATTTTCTGAGAGAGAACCACCTACTCATGTGTTGAGATCAAGAGATTCCATTCCTACCATTTGAACCTTGATTTCTAGCCTTCCCCAAGTTGCTTTCCACTCAAATCCTTCTTCCACCATAGCCAAATCTATGAGAGAGAGTTGAGTGTTGGGGAGACTATCATTTGAAGCACAAGAGCAAGGAGTTCATCATCAACACACTGCCTATTACCTTTTGGATAGTGGTGTCCCCTAGATTGGTTAGGTATCGCTTGGGAGCCTCCGACAAGATGTGGAGTTGAACCAAGAAGTTTGTAAGGGCAACAAGACCGCCTACTTTGTGAAGATGTACCCGAGTGAGGCAAGTCCTTCATGAATGATGGCCACGGTAGGATAGACAAATTTGCTTCTTTATGGACCCTTCATGGGTGGAGCCCTCCGTGGACTCACGCACCCTTACCCTTCGTGGGTTGAAGTCTCCATCAACGTGGATGTACGATAGCACCTATCGGAACCACGCCAAAAAGCTTCGTTTCTCAATTGATTTTGCACACTCCAATCCCATCCCTTTACTTTGTTGCAAATTGCATGTTTTACCTTTTTTGCTGCCTATGCTCTTGTCATGCTTTCTTGAGATGTATTGAGTGCCCTTTAACATGTGCTAAACTCAACCTTAACTTAAAGAAATTAAAAACTGCCACTTTTACTTGTGACTTTTCCAATCACCCCCCTCTAGACCCCTCTTCTCGATCCTTTCACTGGTGTCCCTTGCAAGAGAAGCATGCTGTGTCAACAACCAATGAAGCAAATCTTCACCCTAAAGATTTTGTCATAGTTTTTTAAGAAAAAATCCATTTATATAATAGAATATAAGCATGTCATCTACCTTGCCCCTGGTCCTAAATTATAAATCAAAACCCCCCACACAAGACATTGATCCACCTTTATTCAAAGACAAGAAAGGTGTCTCACAAACTGTTAGGGGGAAGTGCAAGAATGAGGTGCCAGTAGCTAAAGTAAGCTTTAGGATGGCAGCCATTACATGCATCAATTGCAGCCAACAAGGTCATAAATTCACCAACTGTGATTGACTATGAAACCATATTTGCATATGAGAAAAAACAAACACAAGGTCATTGATGGGTATGTTTAATTTTTCTTTACTTTCAAGAATGATGTTGTACTTTAATTGTCTTGTTCATATGTTGCCAAACAGGGCCATATATAGTGATGACATTGGATCAACATTAAGTGCTCCTACATATAGTAGAATAAGAAAGACTCCTTGCTCCAGTGGCACTGCATCTTCAACACCAATGCATCTCCATTAAGAACAAGGTCGACTGCTCATGCATCTCCATCACTAGGAGCAAGGCCAACTGCTCCTGCATGTGCAACAACAAGGTCTCCTACTACTAGATCAAGGGTTGTTGCCTCCTCCCCTGCACCATCTATGTCTCCTACTACCAGATCAAGGGATGTTGCATCTGCATCTGTGACATCAAGTTCTCCTCTAACCAGGTCTAGAGCAGTTGCATGTGCACCTGTAAGAGGTACTTCTGCACCTAGCAAGCCTCCTAGAGCACCAAGGGCAAGGACTTTCTCTACCCCTAGAGTAGTTACTAGTGTTTCTAATGCTCAGGGTCCTCAAAAGAAGCAAATGAAGATAACACTAATGATGAGGGATTACCTAACAATTAGTGGTGCCAAGTGGTAATTGTACTATTATTAATACAAATTGTGGTTGGTTTAAGACATTTGTGTGTTTGCTTTAAGAGAATGGTGAGGTTTGCTTTAGGAGAAGTATGTGCTTTGCTTTAGGTGAATTATGTGCTTTGCTCTCACAAAGTTTTTAGCCAGACATGTCCTATCATTGGTACTATGTTTTGATCAATATTTTCCTAGGGCATTGAACAAGTATGCTCACCATATGACATATGGTGTGCGCTTCATATGCATTTGGAAGTTGTGATGAGTGTGCACAGACACGGAGTGACCATAATATGGCCTCCATATTTTTGGTCTTATTTGTTTCTATTTTTCATTCACTACATTGTTGTATGTTCAATTTAAGGTACATTTAATCATCATCAAACATGATAAACTTATATTACTGGCCAAAGGTGCCCCATTACATATTTTTTTGCGACTTGAAATGCCATTAAGCGACATTTTCAAAATATGCAATGTCACTATTTGACATTGCTATGTCCTACTACCTACGGCACGTCACCGACAATGTCATCTAGTTGTCGTCCTGCCCGTTCACGTCATACTCGAAGTCTTCGACGTCCTCGTCATCCTTCTCCTCCTCGACCTCCTTGTCGTCCTCCTCCTCGGCATTCTTGTCTTCCGGCAAGAGATCGTCGAAGAAGGTGTCTTGGTCACACCCACAAACGGGAGCCACGGGATTCCGTAACTCCTCCTTGTCGGCGATTCCGGGGTGGAACTCCCGACGGATGTGCTCCTTGTTGCGAGCTTTGAGGACAGAGAGCCGCAGCACAACATCGACCGGGTCCTCAGGTTCCAACTCAAGCTCTGACTTCGGCTAGGTGGGAGATAATGTCCTTAACGGATACGATGGCACCGGAGGAGCCAAATGAACAGCCGGCCGCCACCATGGGAGCCGGCAGATCCCCGGAGGCCGCCCTCATATGGGAGCTGTCGGGGTGTGGTGTTCCCATCATACTATGCAACGATGTACTCCCTCCGTTCCGAATTACTTGTCTTGGATTTGTCTAGATACGGATGTGTCTAGACTCATTTTAGTGCTAGATACATCCGTATCTAGACAAATCTAAGACAAGTAATTTGGAACGGAGGGAGTATTGTGTATCCCCACCCAGTTCACGTGATAAAAACCGAGCAGGGTGTGGCTGGCGAGGTGGCCGATTAGCATCTTCCCTTTCTTTTGGGCACAACTTATGCATGTTGTTGGCCTCTCGATTTTTTGGCCGCCAGCGTTGCTTTTGCAAGGCACGTATGCTTGCACGTAGATGATTCCCCCGACACGGCCACTAGCGGTCGAGGCGGGCCAGAGTAGTCTTGAAAATTCACCGACACTAAACCCACTCTGCTCAGCAAGCAGCCAGTCGTTCATGCCATGTAGGCGCCTTATCGTTTCAGTTCGAATTCCATAAATAGGTGCCGTCCATAGGTATGTTCGAATTCCATAAACAAGGCCCTCCGACCTCGAGCCGTCGCGCTCACGGGCAGAGCTGTCTTCTCGGA